GAGCAGAGTCACTGAATTACCATGCATATTTTGGAAATGAATAACTGATGATGCACAATAGCAGGATATAAGTTCTTTAAAACACAGTATTTAGGAGCCATTTTTATGAACCAGGCCACTTTTCTTTGGTACATTTGAATGCCTCATTGGGGGTGACTCTTCTTGTATTCAATTTGATTTTCTTACAGAAATCAGTCTAGGAAGAGAAGACCCAATTTTGAGAGATGTCTTTGGTTTCTGGGCCCTTCACATTTTCTAATCCTTTCTCCTCAGAGCATTTTGAATCTTTCTCTAGGTCAAATTTGTTGCCTTTGAGCATTGTTTTAGGAATGCGTCTCCCTGTGTTCAGGGAAGTGCTTGTCTTTATTTTTTAAATGCTTTTTGCTAAATGTCGAAAACAAAACCATCCTTGACTCAAAAGTATTTTGTTCCTGTGCAGAGCTGTTACTGTTTGAAAGCTGCTTCCCATGCTAGATGTTTCTGAATTAGGAATTCACCTAATAACGAATTCTGCTTATTTTGGTTCTCTACAAAGGTTTGTTGTATGAGCTTAAAATAAGACTGCAGCTGATTTGTGTAACACATATTAAGTGTTTATTTAGTGTGAGTGCACGTCTGTATCTCTCGTCTCTGATCAACCTGAAAAATTTGCATGCTGCGCAGCAGCCATTTTCTTTTATACTTTATTAAATATCTGTCAATTATAAATATCAAGGTTTTACATTAATGTCAAGATAGTACATCAAAAATTCATGGAATATGTGACTTTTTCCAAGGGTATTTAATACTTAATGCATTTGTGTCATTTTTCTTTCCAGAGATATTGACAGGTTTTATTAAGTGTTTGTTAGGGAGATTTCATTTTTATCAAGGGACTATAAAGAGAAGCTGCATGCTAAATCAATTTTTTAAAGCCAGAATATCGTTCATTTTTTTCATCTTCAAACACTTATAATCCATAGGTTTTATTTAAATTTCTTCTTGGTTTATTTTTGTTTTATGTGAGTGATAGTTCAAGACAGAACTTTAATAAGGATCAAATATGCTGACTGTAGTGGTTTTTAATTTCCTTAAGCATCTCTACCAGACCCATGCAATATGGTAAATTCTTCAAAATGTCATACTTACATATTTAGCAATATTGCTCCTTTTTATTGAAGCCAAACAAACAATTTTAGATATTAATCTTCCCAAACGCAATGATTATTTTGTACTAGGCCCAATATCACTGTCTCACCAGGAAGGCCTCCTTGTGATGGAAAAGGAAGCAGGAAGAATGCTTTACCCACTGCCTGGTTTCACTTGAATATTCCAGAATCCTCTTTTTTAATAAAGCAAGCTCTTTAGTGCTTCAGGTCTGAATATGAGCTGTGGCAGTTGTTCATTTCCCCAACTTCAAATATTTATTATGTTCAAGAAGGTAAAAACATCAATCACTTAAAAAATACGCCAGAAATCCAAGGCTGGTTTCTCCATGGTATTGGGGGGAGCAGGATAGTTGGTGGCTTGGCAGACTGGTCCTCTCATGCTTCTGTTGGGCCGTGTGCCTGAGAGGCCCGTGCACTGTCATCTTTCTGACAGTGGCCAGACAGGCTATCTGGGGACATTCCTCATGTATATCTGTCTTGGAAGCTAGTCACAGCTAAAATCAGTTGGCCACAAAGAATATGTTTTCTGTTTTAATTTCACATTTTTATTTTTAGAGTGCAGATTAGGAATGTCTTGTGTTAGAAGAGGCTGTGATGTGGCCTGAAGTCACACGGGAGCTGCTCCTGCAGCAGGACATCAGTCATCCTCTCCAGGGCCCAAGAGCGTTCCAGGAGCTTTTCAGTGACTTCAGATTAACCTAATTTCTGGAAGAGACTTTTGAACCTTAACTTGCAAACAGAGAAAGGCTTGCTTTTTTTTGTTGTTGTTGTTGTTTTTTTTTAATCATACTTTCCAGAGCCTCAATGAAATTTGTTTGAAATAGATATTTATCTTATCCTTGTTCATTCCTTTCAGAATAGGCAAGACATTTATTTTTCAACCTAAAATATCTTTCATAGACAGATCATTTGCAATATTGGAATGTTTCAACATCCTCGTAAAATTATTACATAATAAATTTTATACATAGGATAGAGATTTTGTTGTAGCTATTGCTGCTGTTACTGAGGACTAAGCTCAGGGGCTCTCAATCACTGAGCTACATCCCCAGCTCTTTTTTCTAAATGTTGAGACAGGGTCTCCCTATGTTGCCTAGACTGGCCTGCAATTTGCAATCCTGCCTCAGCCTCTCAAGTTGCTGGGATTACAGGTGTGTGCCACCAAGCCCAACTTGGATAGAATTTTTTTAGAAACCAAGCCTGACCAAAGTGAAGTTGAAATCGTGGCTATTCTTTTTAACCCAACTTTGGTTTACACAAATTACTGTTGAAGGCCTGCTCCTAGGCAATGACTTAGGCCTTGGCTCATAGAGCCCTCTCCCCTGTGCTGCCAGTAGATGGCGCTGGTGTCATGTGGTGAGAGCCCTGCTGAAATGGAAGCTGCTTGCTTTCTCATTGTGTCACATTTTGCTTCAGTGTAACTGTTAAGTGCGTGTGTCGGTGGCAGAATAGCTTTTATACCAGAATTGCATGCAGCAGGCACACCCTGTTTTTTAAAGAAGAACAACTATTTCTAACAGATTCTGCAAATATTATATAACCAAACAGCCAAAATAATCCTCAAAAATCAATCTGAAAAATACATTTCTTTCTTGATTTTTTAAAAAATGATTCAATCAGGATTATGAGCATGAACTTGTAAGTTGGGTAAGAAATGTATCTAAAGAGTAGGAAAGGAAACATTTCGGAGGGTTAATCTTCCATTTGTTGGATCCCCAAGGAGGGCACCCAAGGTTGAGTGGTTTTGTAGGGTCCAAAGCTGTTAAAGATATGCCAGTGTTGGGAGAGTCTTCCTTGTGTCTCTGAGATCCTGCATTCCAGTTCTGAAAATTGTCACCATGTTTTCTATTTAGTAAATCAGACTTTTGGAGGAGGTGTTAAATTTTTAGTACTTACGGGATTTAGCATTGAAATTTACTGTTTCAAGATCCCATGAAATTCCATAGTTTAAGTGAATTTAAATATTTAATAATACCAAACCAACATTTTTCTCACCTTCCAGACTGAAAAGAGGCAGGTGTGCAAAGTTTCAGTTGTTCAGATAATGTGAAATTTCATTTTAATATAAGGGAAAGGAAATTTTAGCAATAGAATCCCTTTCTTTACAGTTTTAGAGTTTCCCTGTGGTATTTCTTGTTATCAGATTGGGTTTAGACTGGGCTGGGTACGTAGCTCAGTGGTAGAGCTCTTCTTCCCTAGCAGACACAGGCCCTGAGTTCAGTCTCCAGTACTGCTAAATAGATAGATAGATAGATAGATAGATAGGGCGGGTTATCTGCTAACTTGTACTTTTGAATGGAAACCTAAACATTGCCATGGTTAAGTTTAATAATTAAATGGAAAACATGAGGCTTAGAGCACAGTCTTGCGCTTCACTTGTTACAAAGGAAAGGAGCAAGAAGCATCAGTCCTCCGGGCTCTCAAATCTTCACTATAGCTGATGGTATTATTGATTTCTCCTCCCAGAGACAGGATTCCTGATCTTCCTGAACTGACTAGGACATGCTTCTGTGCGATGTGTTATTTTGTATGTTGACTTAAAATGTTATCTCCTTTAATTTCCCTTTATTATTACAAATATGCATTTTAAAGATTAGATGAATGAGTTTTACACTATGACTCTTCTTCCAAAGGGTTAAAGCCAGGCTAGGAAGAGGGGAGAAGCAGGCACCTGGGAGCTAACACCCAATTGGCAGTCTTTTGTAATATATAATTTGCCTAAAATTGCGCACTGAGCACAAGCTTTTGTTTTCTAATTGATTTACGGTTTGAGCCACTTTTACCTCATCCCCTACTGTCCTGCGTACGGTGCCAGCGAGTACATTACAGTGAGAGATGATAAATTACAGTGCACTCGGAGTGCCAATGCGTCAAGAGCAAAAACTACTTGCCGCTCGGAGCTCCCGCATTGACAGTGCTGCAGACACGGCTCCCAGAGCTTCCTCTGCGTCTCAGAAATAACCGTTTGTTCATTTGATCACTCGCTGCAATCTGTCTATCAGACTGCAATTGAAACTGAAGATTAAGATTATACTCTTACAGCTTTTAATTTCTTAATTGAGACAAAGTTTTAAGTGCTTGAAAGGTCTAAGTTGGGGCAGGGGGCGTTGTGAAGAGAGAATACAAAATGTAGAAAATTTTCTCCTCTTAGTGTGAAGTTAGGGATATTTTTACCGAATGTTCTTTTGTCCAGAAAAAAAAAAAAAGGAGTATATTTTAAAATATGCCGATTTCTGTTTTATCATTATTTTTTTTGTTTGTAAAATTTATTTTCTAATCTTATAAAACTGTTTTTCTTGACTTTCTGTACTTGATTGGTGTTTGCCACAGATATGATTCATTTGCACATACATTGATCCCCATCAAATTATTTAAGTCAGAGAAAAGTGAAAGAACTTTCAATTCATTATAGTGCCTTTAATTGTTCCTTTTACTGATAAAAGAAGAGGTTTGAAATCTGTTCCTAAGGCCCATACAGAAGTCACAGCCTGGGATCTAAGGAAAGGCTAAGGTCAGCCACCTAACTTTACAGGCTCCCTGTGTCTGTTCAGGAGCACTGGCCTTTCTGAAGTCAGTCCACCTTAATTGTATTTCGTACAGTGTCTCTGAGTTCTAGGACCGAAATATGAAGGAGCAGATTTATGGCGTCTGCTGGGCACAACAAATTAAGTTGACAGTGATGTATGAGAGCGTGATAGCATGATGATCCCTCAGTAGCGCGGCTGGACGCCTCCTGCTTCATTTGGCTCTTGTTAGGATCTGTTAGGCAGCTAAATAATGAAATTCTGCTGACTGATTTCTGTTTTCCCTTTTTCTCTTTCACCTCTGCTTTCTAAAACTTCTCATTCCCAGACCCATCCTCATGCCAGCAAACTGCCCTTGAAGGATTCTTTCACTTACGAGGACTACAGGTTGGTGAGGGTTGGGGAGAATGTGGGGTCCTAGAAGAGAGGGCAGTGCTTCACTAAGTGACCTGCTGTGACCATTTAAAGCATCCAAGCAGAGATGGTCTCAGAAGTTACAGTGAGCAGCTTGGATGAGTATTGGCATTTTAATAGCCATCTAGAAATTGCCATTAACCTATAGTGGTAGAGGATTGGTTGAGGTAGCAGAATGATACTTGAAATTAATATTAGTGTTGGGCAGTGCTAAAGGATGCTTTTTTCCCTTTTAAATAGATTGTGTTAGCATAAAGTGGAGACTGCGTTTTGAACTGGAATAGTTGACTCACTGGGACAATGTAATAAAAAAAAAAAAATTGCATTCCACAGTTCGTACAGTCCTCACAGGGTTTCTGATCAGAGTCCTGCCGTTTACTTTTCACAAGGCTGAAAATAGGCGCAGAGTCAGCGTTTGGGTGAAAGAGTAGAAGCTGGTGGTTGTTGCTTGTCAGGACCCCTTAGAAGGGCCGAGATCAGTGCTCCCAGCCCTCACTCCTGGCTCTTTCCTCCGGGAGCATCCTTCAGAGCCACTTGCTCTGTCCCCTCTGACTCTCCTTTCCCTGCCACTCCCCTGGCTTTCCCTCAGCCCTGGTCTTAGTTTTAAGTGAGGTTGAAGAAGGCCAGGCATTACTTTTGGTACTAAGGAAAGGCTTTGGAAATTTGTGAGAGGTCAGGCGACCCTGCATTTCTGGTTATTTCTTAGTGAGTTGGCTTCTGAATGTCCCAACCTAATTAACTTTTTTCTTATCATTACAGGTGGGCAGTCTCTTCTGTTATGACACGACAAAACCAAATTCCCACGGAGGATGGTTCCCGGGTGACCCTGGCCCTGATTCCTCTATGGGACATGTGCAATCACACCAGTGGCCTGGTAACAATCTCCCCCCTGGGGTCTGGTGCGGGAGGCTGAGCCCAGCTCCAGCAGACATTCCACCCGCTGTCCTGTGTCCCCTTTGCACCTCCCTCCAGCAGCTGCCCTCCCCTCCCGCCTGGCTGAGCCTGGCTGAGCGGAAGCTGGCTTTCTCTCACCTGTTAATGTCACACTGGAAATGGGAGCTGGAGTCTCCTGCCTCTTGCAGAAACCGCAGCCGGGTGCATTTATCCGCCAAGCCTCATTTCAGCCTACGCATCATTTTCTTATCTTTCTTACCACAGTCTAAACCAAAGTTTCTTTCTCCTTTTTCCTTTAAAAATACTGACTTATTGAAGATCTTTATTCTTTTTTGTTTTCCTTTTGTGATCCTTTTCTCTTTTTTTGTTGACTCTGTTTCCAGTGAGTTCTCTTCTCTGCTTCTCCCCACCCCAGCCCTTGGCTTTCTCGACCCTCCTGCTTTGCCCATCAGCCTGTGCGGAACAAACTGCCCTGGTGTGGGGAGGGTCATGCCCTGGGCCCTGGAGCGCAGGAGTCTTTGGCATCATCGATGCACTTGCACTCGATGGAGGAACAAAGGAATAGGGAGGTTTAATTATTATTGATAATTCAGCGGGGAAAGGGGGTGCTCAGCTCTCTTGGGTTCTAAGTGACAGCTTAGGTTAAAGTTCTATGTTCTAAGAAGGATTTTGTGGTAATACCATGTAGAAACATAAATTCCTAATAATTTTGAATTTTTAGATATATTATTCTGCTGGTTTGGTTTTTGATAATCTTTTTCAGCATCCACGTTCTTTGATATTATTAACAATATTATAAATAGATTAAAGAAATGCTATAAATAATTATTTCACATCTAACTCCACAAAATGGCCAGAACACATGTACCATGTGCCAGACACTTGAGAAATCCTTGTGCTAATTTGAGAAGGTCTGGCAACAGGTACTCTCTCTTGAACCTTGAAAGTATTTAACTGTAGCAAGAAAGAGTAGTTCCACTTTTATAATTACATTTCTGCCTTAGTTTTGATATACTTAATTTAATTAGCAATACTAAGAAATAGTAGCATGCTTTATGTTTTCATTAGTGAATGTAACTTTACATTTCTTTGTTCTTTTTTTCCTTAAGGGATGTTTTTAACTGATTAAAAGCTTGAAATTTTAAAAATTTTCCAATAGCTTTTACTATCTGACCCTAGTATTTTTCTTCTGTTTTTGGCCTAGATCCTTGATTTCCAGACTCCATTGATCATTAGAATATATATTTTATATCTAAAATGAAAGAGGATGACTATTTTATTATAAGTCAAAAAGAAAGAAAGCACACGGCAGCATCTAGTGAGATGAGAATCTCTTACCCTCCACGGCCTCAGTCCCTGTCCATGGGATGCCCCCACCCGGCGTGCACACAGTCACTGTGTGCGGTGCCTTCCGAACTCAGACTATCAGCTTAATTTTCTTTCTTTTTTTTCTTTTTCTTTTTTAGAATTTTAATATATCAGACACCAGCTTTTATTGCTTCCATGTAAATGCCGTGAAAGCTATTCACTTTTTTGAATTTATCTCAAATTTAAATAATGAGCTTATCCTGATGACGCTTGCCATATTTTCCCTTACGCAGTTCCTTTGGTCTGTGGCCTGCCACAGCCCTGGCCAGCACATCTCTGGCCTTTTGAAGGGGGGTCACTCAAGAAGCTGGTGTGTGTCTGGAAAGTAGTGCCTTTCCCACACGCCTCTCTCTGCACCTTTGCTGTACCAAGACCCGTGGCCATCGTGAGGTTTGGTGGGAGACACGGTGCCGTAGCTAACACCTTAACGTGGCATGTCATTGCATTCACAGTTCATCTATTTTTAAAAAGAAGCACTTGGCCGGCTTCTTCAGGCAGGAGGGTTTCTTTTTTGTGTGCGTCTGTGCTGATGCTTTCTGGTTGTAGGTCCAACCTGGCCCCATGATGAAGGGATAGGTAGATTGAACACAGCGTCACCTCTGCTTCCCACAGTGGCCCTGAACCTGTCATCAGCACAGGCATTAATTCCAGAGCAGCAGGTGTGGCAGCCAGAAAATGCAGAAGACAGTGGGAGGCCAGCACCACCCGGGCCAGGGACTCCGGCAAGTGGGAGTGGATTCTCCAGCCACCTGGAGAAGCAGGTTTAGGAAAGGCATCTAGCACAGTAGTGAGCCACAAGAGAGAACAGATCTGTACATTTCACATGCTTGAATCAGAATTGATGGGAGCACCAGGTGTCCTTTCTTGGGGTTGTTTGATTTGTACAAGTAGGACACCTCTAGGAGGTTTGTGAGCTGGTAACTTAGTTCCAGTGTGCAAGGTGTGTGTGACCCTGCCAGCCGGTGTGGAAGCATGGCAGAAGACCCGAGCAGAAGGAATGAGGCTCTTTTTCAAGGTCTTTCTGTTTGTGTTTTGAAAAATCTAAAACTTTTAGATTTGAGTCTTAAAGGCCCACATCTTTACAGTAGTGGACAAGGCCCCTGCACCTGTCACCACTATACCACAGCTACCACCCACCTCTGGCTCTCAGCTGTCCTGTAGATGCCAGCACGCACCCACCTCAGGGCCTTTGCACTTGCTACCTGAGACACTTGTTCCTCAGATGTCTCTGAGACTTACTCACAGGAACCTCCAGCAGTGCTGCCCTTGCACACCCTTGGCAAACCTGCCACACCTCCTATCCATCAGTCTTCCCTTCATGTCCTTCCCACCATTGTCTATATGTTGTATTTCTATCTATTGTATTTCTACGGGGTTGTTTCACGTTCTCCCCTGTTAGAATGGAAGGTTCATGAAGGCCAGGTGATTTTTTTTTTTTTTTGGTCTTATTCAATTCTCAGTGTCTTGGTATATTCCAACACCTGGTATTTTTTGAGTGAATTCATGAGTGGAGAATAAATGCATGTAAAACATATACACCCATGCTTGGAAAAAAGACCGGAAAGAATAATCCAAAATGTTAATGTGATCATGATCTTTTTCTTCCTTCTGTTTTGCTTTTGTATTTTCCAAATTTTATTTGATGAGCTTGTATTTCCCTATTCCTTTCTCCTACAATAATGAAAGTAATATGATACATACTTAGAGAAGATTTGAAAAATACAGAAGAGAGGAAAAGTAAAATGTCTGTAGTCCCCATTCTGTTTTGGTCCTGGGGGACCTGGGCATCATGCCCTTTCTCTGTGTCACAGTATAAAAGGTAACTTAAGCTGTAGCTCAGCTTTGGGCCTGGTTCCTGAGGTTACTGTGCAGTTTAAAGCCACCTACAGCTGAGAGCACAAGTCACACAGCCAGCCACTGCCCGCTCCCTGATATGCTCTGCCACCTGCCTTTTTGTGCCACCTTCTCCAAAATTAACCAGCCAACTCTGACCTACTGCATCCCTACCCCTCTGTTGGGCACTTGAGGCTCCCCTGGGCCTATGCTTATATATTTTATTTTCCACCTGTGTCTGTCCCACCAGACTGTCCCTATGGATGGGGATTGAGGCTTTTTTTTTTTTCTTTTTTTTCCTTTTTCTGTTTTCCGAGGGCCTAGCTCAGGACCTGGCATGGAATGGGCACTCAGTAACTTTTTACAGCAGGGAGTCAGCTGCATGGGTGAAGAGGAGGTGGATGAACCCCAGGGCTGTAGACTTTTGCATACCTGAAAATTTTAAAGTTTTAATTTCTCTTAATATGTACAGGATTTAGAGGCAGCTCTTCTGGTCCCCTAATGACCCAGCGTTAGACAAAGGTGGTACTGCCAGTTGGCAAGGGTCCTGCAGAGACCCTGCTTCCCTCAGAGCACCAATGCATAGGCACAGGCTTTGTGTGGAGTGTGCCCACGTCACCTGCTGGCTTGCTGCTCTCGGGGATGCTCCACAGCAATAGTTTTGTGCTCAGGGATTGTGTTTGGTTCAGACTATCAAGTGGTGATAGCTGTAGGGTCTCTTCCAGGAGTACTTCCTTCATCTCAGGAATCACTGGTGTAAGTAGAATTGACTGAAATGCTCAAGTGGCCCTGAGCTCAGTTGGGAGGCCTTCAGATGCACCCTTTAAGTGCCTCTGGAGACCTTTTATCCTTTACTGAACAAGAATTTCATGATGCAAAGAACAGGTGCAAGGGCCTCACTGTTGTTCTGTCCCTTCTCCCTGGCTAGATCACCACTGGTTACAACCTGGAGGACGACCGCTGTGAGTGTGTGGCTCTGCAGGACTTCCGGGCTGGAGAGCAGGTAGGTTCCCCACAGTGTCTCAGGTGTGGCCAGCCAGTGGGCACTGGGGAAATGTTAGGTTGGCCATTTAAAAAGGTACTGGACTCAGAAAGGAAACTTGGGAACAAGCAGATTGGAATAAGCATGATTATTCTATAGTAAACATATTATGCTTTGGGTCCATGAAGAAAAAAAAGATTTAAATGCAGTTATTTGCCCAATTGACCTAATATTTGGAACACTTTTAACTGAAAATAAACTTTGTCTTATGACACTAAAACAAATTATTTCATAAATTACATTGCTTTTATTTCTTCCTCTCTTGATTCTTTATAAGAGGCAATAGTTAACAAGCGGTATTTAAGTGGCAAAAACATAAGGGAATCAAGACCGAAACATCTGTCATCGTGTGCTTCACTTTAATCTGTGATTTTTTTTTTTGTGTATCTAATGATTTGGGTGGGGGCAGGGGTAAGCTTTTCATTAAGTTTGGAAATACACATCTATGAATTTTACCTTCGCCCTCCCAATTTCACAACCATGCACATAACACATGACGAGAACTGAAGGCCACTGACATCCCAGTTGAGACAAAATGAAGAACATAGTCTAACCAAGTGCTGATCTGCTCTTTCTTCAGAAAAGTGCATGAGCCCCTGCTAGATACAGAACTGCACTGGGTGTAGAGATGGATTTCTGGCAGGCGTTGCTCTAAACTCATGTTCCAGAAGGGACTCTCCTGTATGAAAAGGAGAGGAAGACATGGTGCATTCTAGAATGTAGTCCTAAGGGAATGGTCAGGCTGTGCCTTGGAGGGAGACGGGGGTCATAGAAGGGACCCGGGGATTCAGGGTCCTCTGTGCCTAGTCAGGACCTCGCTCCCTGTGGTGGTGGATGTGGGTGCTTGGCCCCACCAATGGCAGGCAATTTGGGAAGTTTTGCTCGTGCTGCACTTGCAGCACCAAACAGGTGGAGGGTTACTTTAGAGCTGTTCTGTCTCCTTAATGTAAAGCAGCAGTAAATGTGGGAGAGCTAGCCCTGTGCTCTGTGGTAAGAAGGCTTGCTAAGTTTGTTTTATGTCCCTTTATTTTCTCTTTACTGCATCTCAGATTTACATTTTTTATGGCACTCGGTCAAATGCAGAGTTTGTGATCCACAGTGGTTTTTTCTTTGACAATAATTCACACGACAGAGTGAAAATCAAGCTTGGAGTGAGTAAAAGTGACCGGCTGTACGCCATGAAGGCCGAGGTGCTGGCACGTGCCGGCATCCCAACGTACGTACAAAGCAGTCGTGGGCCCCTTCCTGTGGCACTTGCAGTATTTCCAGTTCCATGGTGTTTAATTGGTGTGTTAACAAAACTTCTCTCCAGTAGTTTGTCTTAATCCCTTTATCCCTGTTACACAGAGCATTTGGGCCGTGGAGATGCACAGTGATTGACCACAGTTCTAGGTAGACATAATGGTGTCGCTGGGAAAGCTCTCAGTTCCAGGGGATGAGGCCTGCAATCCTCATTAAGTTAAATAAGCACTTTGGTATCATTAATGTCTTTCACCTTGAAAAGGTTAATGACCTGGATCAATTTGTTTCATTTAATTCTTTGCCACCATTAGTTTCTGTAATGAAGTCATGATCCTCAGTGATTTCAAGAATTCCTGGTTAAATTCCTTAAGATTTTCTTGCATTTGAGGAGTGAAATGATAAAGAAGACAAGAATTATGATTTATTAGTCCGCTAGGGAATGGAGGAACCATTCTTAATGAAAATGGATTATCCAGACCTTTTCTTATTGAACTTGTCAATATTTGATTAATGATTAAAGTGTGAACTCAACATAAATTATTATTAACATTTTTAAGAACCGTGGGTGTGTTTAATGCTCTTAACATGAGCACACGGCCTGACTTGAAGGCCAGTAGCCACTGGGCAGCTGCAGAGGTGGCTAGTGCCAGCTATCACCTGTCCCTGACTGTCAACTCGGCACCCTGCCTCCTGCAGGGCCTGAAAATTGCCCTTTGGTAGTTGCAGTGAGCAGCCAGAGCAGTGCACCCCACTTGCCCTTTTGAGGATGGCCGGGTGCTGCCGGCCAAGGCCCTTGGAGCAGGTCAAGGTGGCTGACTCGGCTTCTCGCTCTTGTCAGTTCCAGTGTCTTTGCGCTGCACTTTACGGAGCCGCCCATCTCTGCACAGCTTCTGGCTTTTCTCCGAGTGTTCTGCATGACCGAAGGTAAATCATTTTATGAAAAAAAAGATATATAAAGATTTCATGAAAATGTAAAATGTAACTATTCAGTTTGAAGATAAAATGGCTTAAAACTATAAAGTGCTTTTGGGAAGTGGGAAGACTGCAGTATTGGAGAAAGAAGGAACTGACTTGTTTTATTCCAGAAATCTTCAATGTCTGGCATCTTAGAGTGAATGACAATGCAAACATTTTGCAAAGAACACAGAATATCCTCAGCTACAGCCTCTTATGTCAGTTCCAGAAAGAGTTAAATATACCTGTTAAGCATCCACCTTTATGTTTGCTTAAGACACTTATTTTTTTTTTATTCTGAGTTCTGATCTCATGTGGTCAAATCTAAATTCATCCTAGAATGTACTTCTTTATCCTAGAATGATTTCCCCCCAATTCCCTTGTCCTGATGTTTCACTTTTGATCATGTTTGTATGTGTGTTGCTGTTGTTATAAACTGCCTTAAATTCTGTGCAGAACAGATTGGGTGGGTGTAAGTGAATGACTGGCTGAGCAGATACAAGTGTTCTGGAAAGAGCTGCTGGGGTACCAGGGACAGTGCAGTCCTGGTCAGAGTGGCCTGTCATGGCCGAGAGACAGGTGTACCCTGCTGTCTTCTGCCAGGGTCTCAGATCTGTGCCCAGAGAGAACCTCTGCACAGACTAGGCTTTGATAGTGGGCTGAAGGTAGAAGAAACTTGGTCCCAAAATACAGGGAGGCTATGTAGACACCAACTACAGAACCAGACAAAGTGCTCCTCAAGAGCAGCCACGTTGCTGCAGATTCACTGTCATTCAAGTGGGAGCTCTTGGTGCCTCTTGTACTTGATTCAACCTTCTAGTTCAGGGAAGGTGATTAAGGGACCCTTGTGGGCTTTTCTTGCATACACACGAGGATACAGAGTTGAATGTCACAGTTCATATTCTTGGGAATGTATAATTAAGGGAGGTAAGGGTGATAGTAATTCCTATAATTTGTGGCATGCTCACTGTGTGCTGGGCACGGTGCTCAGTGTGGTACAGACGTTACTTTCAATCTGTCAGCCTGTGGGATAGGTATTCCCATTTCACTGATGTAGAAACTCCAACTCAGAAGACAGAAGCTTGGCCAAGATCACCGAGCAGGCAAGAGATGATCCTGACTTAGCTCCCAACCTCAGGCTGCCCAGCAGGCAGAATGAGGCTCAGGAACCATTGAGGAGGGGGCTGACATAAGCCTGGGGAATCCCGTCAAGGAGTCATTTGCTAGAAGAAAGCTTGGACGGGAGCCTGCTACAGAACCACCCAGGCAGGCCGCCCTGCATCGTAGTCTTAATTCCTTCTGGGTTTTTCCCTCCCATAGTGTGAAGGGAGTCAATCTTGCTGCTGGGTGGAAGGGGACAGAAAGCTCTACCCTGATCCTCTGGCTCTCCCTCATCCCTGGAAGAAGAGACAACTGGGGTGGGGGTGTTGAGGAGGGAGCACAGTAGTAACTTGGTACAAGGAGCGTCTGAAAAGAGATTCTGCCTCCAAGAAAGCACATTTTTTAAGAAGTCTCCATTGCTTTATGCAAAGAATCGAAACTGAAGAATCCAGAGTCTAAAAATCCTGAATTTTATCACATTCTTTTGCTAACAAATACAATTCGATAAATCTCTTTTGAACATTAGGTAACATCTATTTTCTTTTTAAAAAGCTATTTGAATCATTTTAGGTTCGCTGCCTCTCTTTGGTTTCCTTTAGTCATGGGAAGACAATTTGTCATGCCAAGACAATTGATGTATTCTTTGAATTACTCCAACTAATACTAATAAAAGTTTGGTTTGCTGGCAGCAGCAGTTCCTCAATTTGAATTGTAAATAGTGACAGCTGTAGGGCATTTTGCTCTGAAAGAGATACTGTCTCACAGTTACATAAGAAGCTGGTGTATTTCTTGAGCATGAATAGCAYGGGCACGTTTGGTCTTTTGGAGATAATGTGCCAGGAGATAAATACTCAGAGCAGTTGCTGGATTCTTCCCTCTTCTTAAATATATTGAGATGTTCACTTATGTTTATTTTTACTTCCTATTTTAAATTCCTGACAAGTGAGAGATATAGGCCCATTTTTCATTAACTAAGATTTTTGTAGTCCATTTTCTGGTTTGTTCTGACCGTGGCTTGTTATGAGAAGAATGACTACCAATCRGCTGTAAATCCAGAGGGATCCCTGGGTTGCTGCGGCTGTTGCTTGTGTTCCCTGTTTACGTTATTCAACTAAGTGTCTTTTTGACCCAGTTGGAGGGATGGAGCCCCTGGTTAGGAGAAAGTTATCATCAAAGCATGGGGTGTGTGGCCACAGGCTGGCTGTCCTTGAACAGCTTCTTATGCAGCCATCTAAAGTCTCAGTGCCCCTTATAAGAACAGTGGTCCCTGGAGTGCTTCGACACTGCTGGATCTGGACTCCCAGCAAAGGGGCCTCCCTGGTTTCCTCATCTGAAACTTGGCTCTAGCTCTACTTTGGAAAATCTGGCCTGGTCAGTTAATCTGGGGGAGCTTTTAACCACCTTCCTGTAAGATGACACTGTTGGAGAGTACGCTTTCTAAGGCAGGTTGCTTTAAAAAAGTGAGAGGTAGCGCCACTGTCCCCACTAACAGATTCCTGTTTGTACTTCTTGTAGAGGAACTGAAAGAACATTTGCTCGGAGATAATGCTATCGATAGAATCTTCACCTTGGGGAACTCGGAGTTTCCTGTTAGCTGGGACAATGAGGTCAAACTTTGGACATTTCTGGAAGACAGAGCCTCACTTCTTTTAAAAACATATAAAACAACAATTGAGGTAATTAGATTGATAAATGGCAATTTGATTTTGTCATGTGTTTAGAGATGTTTAATAATCTGTATCTTCCTAAATGTAAATTTCTCAAATTCTTTAGCAATTAATTATGTATTGGATATTTTTCATTCAATATTAATATTTTTTCTATTAATGCACTTACCAAAAATTTATATTGAGGCATTCATTGTTGACTAGAAGATAAAATTATTTAGTACTTTTTCTTTTGTTTTTTAAAGTTCCTTCCTTCCTTTCTTTTCTTTCTTTCTTGGTACTGGGGATTGAACCCAGAGGTGCTTTACCACTGAGTCCCATCCCCAGCCCTTTTTTATTTATTTAGAGACAGGTTCTCACTGCATTGAGTAGGGCCTCGCTAAATTGTTGAGGCTGGCTTTGAACTCCCGATTCTTCTGCCTCGGCCTCCGAAGCCACTTGTGCCACTGTGTGCCTGCATGGCCTACTTTTTTAGTTTCTAACTCACACGATTCGACATTTGTATTTGTGCTTTCAGGCTCATCATTGGGCCACAGGCTCCAAGGTCTCCTTTAGGTTCATCCCTCTATCTGCCTCCACCCAGGCGCTGCACTGGGGCCGAGTTGGTGAGCTGCTCTGTCTGTGATGGCTGCAATTGCTGTAGGTTTTCTTTTTGTTTTATAACAGTTTAGGGTCTAACTCACTACAGTAAGGGTCACAAGCCTGAGGTGTAGTTTTGATGGAAGTGTCTAGAAATGCAAGCATTGCACAGTGAAGTTCTAGAACCTTCCAGCACCCTAGTAAGTCCCCTCCTTCCCCCTCAGTGTCCTGCCTATCACTGCAGCTTTGCTGATTTAGATGACTTGTCATTAACTCTGCTTTTTTTTTTCCAGGAAGATAAAGCCGTACTGAAAACCCATGACCTTTCTGTTCGTGCAACAATGGCCATCAAATTACGCTTAGGTGAAAAGGAGATTTTGGAAAAAGCAGTGAAGAGCGCGGGTGTCAACCGAGAATACTACCGGAAACGCATGGAGGAGAGGGCGCCGCTTCCCAGATATGAGGAGAGTAACCTTGGGCTGTTGGAGGGCAGTGTCGGGGACTCGAGTCTCCCCCTGGTCTTGAGAAACCTCGAGGAGGAAGCCGGGGTGCAGGAGGCCTTAAGCCTCAAGGAGGCTGTCAGCAAAGCCAAGGCTGCAGAAAACGGGCTCGTCAATGGTGAAAACTCTATCCCCAATGGGACCAGGTCCGAAAACGAAAATCTAAATCCAGAAGGAAGTAAACGAGCAAATGAAGAAGCCAAAGAATCTTCTTCAGGTAGCACCGAGGAAGCAAGAGAGCAGCTCTGAGGCACAGCACCGTGGCCGGCAAGCCCAGTTCAGCGGAAGCGTGTGGACAGTCCATGTACATCGCCGTGTTCCCTGTTAACATTTTTCTTTCTGCAGAGAGGAAAATATGTTTTTGCTGCTTTATATAAAAATGATTTTTTAAGTTATTTTAAAGATCTAGCTTCCCTTTTGATTAAGATTGCCATCTTGCTTCTAGGCAAAACAAATAAGTTAGCAGCAGCAAGGGAGGAGGCGCCTTTGGAAGATTCTGCAGGCCCGTGACGGGCACTTGTGTTTTCTTCCTGGGGAAGAACTCGGCTCCTTGCTCAGCTGTGCTTTTGTGGGCCTGTCAGCCTGACGGCCGGAATTAAAGCTTGCTCTGCCTCCTGCCAAGAAGCGTCGATGGGACTCTGGGTGTTCAGCGGGAAGGTGGGGACACAGCGCAGCAGAAAGCAAGAGTGAGGGTAGGAAACTAAATTTAGAGTCTGGGCAAAATCTTTTTTTTTTTTCTTCTTAAAAAATAATAACCCAGTACCAAAAGCAAAGGTAAGGTGGCAACCTTATTTTTAATAGTTTTAAATGTTGATGATAATCCTAATTATATAAATATATATACACACACATATATATCTAGTGATTTCTAAAGATTTGTTTACTTTTTGTGTTTTGTTTCACTGTAATGAGAAATTGTCCCTTCTCCTGGAATCCAAGTAGGACACACATCCTCCTCCTAATTTTAAACGTTGGCTCTGATCTCAAAGTGGTGCGCTTGATTCCCAGTGTTGGTGACAGAGTCTGCAATCACAGGGCCCGCAGCCTTGTGTGCTGTGTTCAAGGTGAGGCGGCTCCCTGGCTTATCTGGTTTCACAAGCTAGAGATTTTCAAAGCTACCCTTTTGAGTAAAATCCCTTATTAAAAGGACAACATGGTTAATATTTTTGTCTATTCCTTTTCTTTGGAGTGGGGCAGGCCATTTGGGTAGAGCTTTCCTGCAGACCACCTTCTTATTCCCCAAGCATTTCTGGAAAGTTGACCTTGTGCTGTGAGTGCGGTCCTAGGTGTCGCGAGGGACGAGAGCCGTGGGGCCCCGAGGCCAGCAGTCAGCTTGTTGCATGGGCTCCAGATAGGCAGGCAGCAGGGCCACATGGAAAGCAACACTCGGGTTTTAGGGGAAGCAGGGCTGGGACAGCGCCCTGCATGGCCTGAGTGGAGCTGTCCCCAGGAAGCCTCCAGCGTTCAGGCCAATGATCGCCAACTCCTGAACCACCAAGGTTCCTGTTGTTTCTGATGTCCTAACTACCAAGGACATTGTTTAGTTTGAAAGATGCTGGGTAAATTATTCACTCATCAGTTTGATAATCGCTGCTGCAGTAGGTAATCCTATAGACCCTTCCGCGTACCTCCTTGGAGAGATTCAGCTCTGCAGACAAACTGCTGGCTTCTCTCCTGAGGGTCTAGATGAGCAACTCTAACACACGGCCCGTCTCTGGGAAAGCTAGGCTCGCCTGCTGCATTGGACAGTACTGCAGCTTCATCTCTGCTTGGGGTCAGGGATGTCCGCTGGTGTCGGAGCCTGCAGTTTCCCCATGTGTCTGTGTTTGCAGTTTGAACTTACTGTGGTCTGTGATGGCCGGCTCTCAATCAGCCCGATACCTGGGATACTTCTCCAAGATGTTAGGTTGTATGTGAAGCTTGCACGCTGATCTCCAAAAGGCATAGGCACTGTGGTCCTTGAGGGGTTTTCTTAGTCAGGTATTGAGGCCCCAGAGACTAGAGCTTTTAGCACTAACGTGCCTATAAATATGTTTTCTCATTGGATTAAAAGTTTCCAAGATTTTAAAACTGCCTTTTAAAAACATATATACAGTTCCAATGGAGCATCATAAGACCAGATAGTTCCAGGCTATTCCCTGGAAGGGTTCAAGTTCAAACTTAGCCAAGAGAGCCAGGATTCTGAGCCCCAGTGCTGCTGCTTCCTTTGCTGGGGTCATGGTGACTGTCCCTGGAGCCTCAGTTTCCTCATGTCCTTGTAAGATGAGAGGATGGCTCTAAGTCATCAAAAGTCCCTGCTTAAAAACCCAGGGACTGTTTGTCCTGTCAGTTAATTCTCCATCCGCAAGTCTATTTGTGAGTCATTGGACCAAAAGTGTCTGTGTAAGTTATGCTTCCAGTTGAGAACAGCTCTGCATTTGTGACATAAAATTGGCTCTCATTGAACAGAACTTGGTTGATGTCAGGAGACAGAGCATCATTGAGCAGTGCTACTGTCCTGAATTGGTCGAATTGCCCTATGAGGACTCTGAGGCAGAGGAACCCCAGTGCTGCTAGCTGCCTGCTCTGCCCCTTCCCCTCCCTGCCGGCAGCCAGCCGCGGTGCTGCTCGCAGACATGTGGCTGCCACTTAAGCATTGGAAATGGAGGGAAAGTGGTTAAATTGGTATTGAAGCACCCTCGCTGCCATCTGTCATGAAAATAGGCCTTTCTCTCAAATCATTCTAAAGTTCACTTTCTTCCTAATGCTTTTGGATAAGAGGCTGTTGAGGCCAGTCGCTGGGAAAGTGCCACCTCTGCCTGTTTCCTGGTGCTGCGTGCTATCAGTGTAAATAGCATTAAGTTTCATCGGCCTACAAAACCAATCGGTTTTCCATGCAGATTGGCAGTGGTGAGGTGGTTCTCCCCAGTAGTGTCTAGAACAGGTGCACTAAAAGATGCATTTAATTTCTTTTTTTTGAGAGGTGGGATAATGCATTTTAAATCTTCCCAGGTTCCCATGTACAGGGTCATGCTAAATTAAACCTTCACTTAAAAATGAGGGAATTAGATTTTCTGCAAATTGTTTATTTGTTTGTTTATTTGGTGGCTAATATGCACGTGTTAGAGTAAGAGAATAAGAAAGCCAATCCAAAAGAAGTGCCTGTGACGTGAGGTCAGAACTGTGAAGAAGGACATTGCTGGCAGGTGGTGGGTTTCAGAAGGCCCAGGTGTGCAGAGTGGCCTGTCATGGGAACTATGGGGAACAGCTTTCTGTGGGTATGGTACTGTATTCCTGCTGTCATTGATCCAGCAGGGTGTGTCATGGAGCCTCACTGACTCGAAGGTTTGCCTCGCTTTATTTAACATCAGTCTAGATGGGTGAAGTATGGAATCCAGTGACCTTGTTAAGGATCACCCTACTATTTGAATCACCAGCCCCTTATATAATGTATTCCTGAAGTTCTGTGTGTAAGCTGAATTTGAGTAACCATTGTGTTTAAACGCAGCTGCCCTGCTGGACCTGGGTGTGCTTGAGTTGGGAGGGGAACCTTAGCAGGGACATGCGACCCATCTTCCCATTTCTAAGGGGCTGTTTGTGAAGGAGGGAGGGTGGCACTGATCACTGCTAGGTGGATGGTGCGCTGGAGCACCCACTGCTGTGGCCAGGATGGGCTGCCTTCAGAGGACCCAGGAGGGAGAGCATGAGGCTTGCATCCCACAGGCCTGGTTCCCACTGTGGGCTGGGGCAGAGCTTTGCTGGCCACCCTTCTTGGAGTGTCTTGGCCTACTTCTGGAGAGTTCTTGAGGGCCAAGGAGGGCACATAGGCTCCCTCCTGCCCTGTGTCTGGGAGGCATTCAGAGAACGTTCCTCCTTACTGTTTGCCCAGCCTGAGGTGTTCCTGGGGTTCAAGAGCTAGTGGGACTTGGGGTGCCAGAGTCCTCCCCCGTGGACTCCCGTGTGCTCCAGGAGCACTGCTGGTTTCCTTCGGCAACCCAGGGACACCGGAGAGGTGCCCAACCCTCGAGGTGCTAGGCAGACATTCCAACAAATCCCACAACTCAGCAGTGCTGGGCGCCAGGGAGGGCTGGAGAAAGTGGGGAGGACCCTGTGCACTGGAGGGGCCCAAGGAAGGGCTTAGGCCTCCAGGAGGAAGCCTGGGGACACCGATTGCCAGGCCCGAGCTCAGTCCCTCTGAGGCACTCATACAGAATCATCCCGTCCTGTGGCAAATGAACTTCTCTGGGTGCGGAAAGGCAGTGATGGCCAGGTCCCTTCGCCTTGGTTGCCCCCTGGCAGGGCCCTTAGAAGCAGGCTAAAATGAGAGAAGCCAGTGCTGGTGGGTACGCTCTCACTGGCATATGGAGTCAAGAGCAACAGCTCCAGGGACATGCTTGACCAGCTCCAGCTCCTCGCCTGTAGCAGTGCCTTCACACCCTCTCACTGATGTGGGGCCACTGTTCTTAGGCAGGCAAACTTGCCAGGTGTGTCCCTAACACATTTGTTATATGAACATGTTGTGTGTGTGCATGTGTATGGGCACAGACACGCACCCGTACATACACTTGTGTATAAAACTTTACCAAAGCTCATATTCTTCTGCTTCAGGCACCAGAGAAGCCCCTCGGCATGACGCTAGGTCAGACTTGGCAATAAAGGAGCCGGTAGACACTGGTACCAGTGCAACTGCACAGTCCTGTCGGGCTCCTGTTGGATTCCTGGTGCCCTGTCCAGCAGCCGGAGCACAGCTGGGCTCTGACGGGCTGCAACTGGCTGAGTCGTCACAGTGAAGTGGAGGCCTGTGTGCAGATCATAACTGACACTCTCAGCAGAGAGCCCGCAGGCGTGGTCTCACGCTTCCCCCATCTCACTCCTAGGCTTCCTGTTTCTCCTTGTTGGACCCCACCCTCGTGAGTGTTCTAGTAGACAGGGGTCAACTCATGGCCTGGACCTCAAACACCTTTTTCCATCTTAACCTGTGGTTCTGGAGGAGCAACGTTTAGGCTAACAGGTCTGCTTAAATCCCTGGCAGCACCTGGAAGGTCCAGAGTGGCTGCTTTCCGCTGTTCCGCTTGCTCTTCTGCAGTGGTACTGGCATCTCTCCCGCCCTCATGCCCTCTCCACCTCACACTTGCTCAGAACTACTCCAAGGAGGAGCTGATGAACACTGCTCTCTCCAGTGTACATGCCCGCCGAGACACAGACTCTTCCAGAGTGTCCGCATTTAGCCAGTGAGCAAGCCCTCAGCCGGGAGGAGACCACTCATCCAAGAAGCCAGGGCTCCAAAGTCAGGCAGATCAATAGCAGAGCTCTGACCCACCCCAACACCACCATCTGTGGCCCCAGCTAGTCTCTCGATGCACAGCACCTTGTTTCTTGTCTGTGAAGTGGAACAGCCATATGAGATTGACAGCTGTGATGGCTCCCGAAGTGTCCTATCGAGCACAAGGAACAGAGTGGGCAGTGGGCATTCATTCAACCTGGTTGCCCTGGTTGTTGAATGAATAACAGTAGGAAGCTAAAGAGCTAAAGCAGGGGGACAATCAAAGGCACTGATCCAATGCTGCAGAGGGCTAGGTGTGCTGTGGATGGGACACTTCACCGTCAGCCCTGTGGTCCAGTGTGGGCCGAGTTTGCTGCTGTCATATCCACCAGGCACGATCCAGACTTGGCAGGTATCTCAAACAGGAAATGTTTATTCTATCCTGTGTACCACATGTATTTCAGCAGGAACATCCAATAGGCACCCTGGATTTCCTGGCCATAAATTTTCAGGTAAATTTTACAGGCAACTCAAAGCAAACCTTCCCCTACACGTCAATGCAAATGACAGCAGGACAGCAGCAAGAGGTGGCAGTGAGAGCCGGGCACCCCAGCCAGCCTAATTTTGGAAGTAATTCTCTAGCTGGCCCCAGAGCATGTCACGGGAATCCTAAGATACATTGAGAGCCACAGTTACTGCTAATTCATACAGAAATCAGTAAGAGAAAGTTCGTTTTATTTTGGTCATTGGCAGTTGTCAACCTAACTAGCTTTGGGCTTATGTTATCAAACGGTGTTGACACCATTTAAGACTGCAGTATAATTACTGTCAGGAAATTCAGTCCTAACACTCCTTGGATTTTCAAAGGACTAGAATGGGTGTTTTGAGAGAAAAAATTTATATATATAT